AATGAATGAACTATATGCACTAAGACTTTCTTTTCACCCAAAATGTTGTAATTCTTACTACTCAGTTAATTCTACTTTATATTCTTAATAAATCTTCATAAACTAATTTGTGTTAAGGTTTTTAACCACCTGTTATAACTAAAGTTGATCAGAAACTTGTCATGATATATTTATGAAAATACTTTGTAAATTCTGAAATGTTATATGAATGTAATTTTGTTAGTTTAGACTTGCTGTGATTAAAATGTGAGATCCTTTTTGCAAATTGGTTTGAATATCCCTGGTTGGATGTAGCAGAATTTATAAAGGAATATGAAACTACAAAAATAACATAACACTGAAGAATCAATATATTCTCACAGATTTGATGAGGGATTAATACTCTTTAATATCCTCATATGACAGATTAACCTAAATTGGATGATAAAACATGAAACTCCAAATAAATCTCTTTCTTGTGAGTGCTTATTTACTAATCCATTAGCTTTAAAAAAAAACAAAAGATTTGTTTTAGGAGGAGGTGCAGATTAGTACTTTTTTAAAAAATGACATTCTCTACTTTGATAATCTGATCAAAGCTATGAGTCCTTTTCTCAAAACAGTGTATAGACCCACCAAGTTTGCATACTGAGATATAGTATCAGAAGGTTTGTGAGCCCTGGATTATAGGCACAAACTTTTAAAATTATATCTAATGGAAATAATTCCTACCTTTCTTTTGTTTAAATATTGGGATGACATCAAAAGTATGACCCATATACACTGCTGAATTTGGCTCATTGTTGCTCCATAGAGCCCTTATGTAGTTTGTATACTTTAAAAATAGGGCTAGCTCTATATGTAAAGCAGGCCCAGAGCAAATTCATTGTCATGTCAGGCTTTAATGTCTGACTATGTTAGTCTTGGAACTCTTATTGTCATTCATGGTTCTTACCCTGCTTGAATATTCAGTGCTTTTGTGACTAAAAGTGACTTCTGTCACCCCTTCCCTTCATTTTAACTATTTCAGCAAAGTTATCCAATTCTACTTAATGTGTTTAGACACCGATCTCTCAGTCTAAAAATTGTTTTCATTTCAAAACTAAATGAGCCTGTCCTATAATCCCAGTGACTTGAGAGGCTGAGATGGGAGGATGGCTTGAGCCTAAGAGTTAGAGACCAGTCTGGGCAACATAGCAAGATTCTGTTTCTTTATTAAAAAAAAGCGAGCCTGTAGAATCCTTTCTTTAACATAACACTTCAAATTTTCCTTTAGTCATTGAATTCATAAATTGTCTTCTTACAGTTATTCTCAAGAGCATAAAACTATCTTAGCATTTCAGGATTTCAAGTGCATGGATCTTGTGAGAGGACAGATTTTATGCCTATTTTTCTCTTCACTTATTTAGTTTTTATTGCTAAAGTTATGTTGATCAGTTTTCAGGAAAGTAGTAGAATTTGGCATTACTGTATAAAAACACAAGCTTTGAGTTCAGACAAAACTGGATTTGTATCCTTGTACCACTCACACATTTTTAATTTTTTTTAGCTCCTAATTTTTATTTTTATCTTTTAAACAAAATTAAACTGGGCAAGTATATTGTTTTATATGAAAAGATTTTTGTTGTAAAAACTCTTTTTTTGAAACTGAATTTGAATGATTAGTAGCAACCTACTTGCTAAATGAAATAGCTTTTTTCTAAATTTATATTCACTTAGAGATTTCCACAATGTTCATATGGATCACTACATTGCTTGGTAAAATTCTGTTTTTTATCTCCATTGACTTAGTGTATTTACAGTTTTCTTCTTCCTCTCTACTTTATGATTTGATTCTATCTCAGTCTATCACCTAATACCCTGTAAAATAAACCCTTCCTCTCTAACTGGGGAGGACTCTCCATTGTCCCTATGTCTTGTCTTGATCATTCCCTGCGCTTGGCTTTTGCTCATTCTGTATTTCTGACTATAATGACTTTTTATACCCACCTAAATAATATCTCTCCTTCGAAAATATGTCTCTTCAAGACTTTTTTTAGTGTCTCCAGTCCAATTAAGTCTCTTTTCCGAATGGCTATAGATTAAATGAAAAATTGTGAAAATAATTTTTTAAAAATAACGTTATCGTTTTTATATTTAATCAGCATTCAACACATAAGACATTGCTGATACTCAGTCACCGTCATACGTAATTCATGTAAAGCTGCCTCACGTGATACTCATTTTTTAGAGATTAAAAAAAGTTTTATTGAGGTATATGTATATAATTAACTGCATGTTTCTGTTATCCAATTTGATAAGATTTGGCTAACATAAACGCCTGAAACTATCCCCACAATCAAAATAAATCCAACATCTTTAGAAGTTTATGTCCCTTTGGAATCCTCCCTTTCATTTCTCCTCATGACAGATAATCACTGATTCTGTCATTATGGATTAACTTTTGTTTTCTAGGATTCTATATAAATGGTATCACACAGTTCTTTCTTTCTTTCCCTCCCTCCCTTCATTCCTTTCTTCCTTCCTTCTTTCTTTTTGAGATAATATCTTGCTTTGTTGCCCAGACTAAAGTGCGGTGGCATGATCATAGCTCAGAGTAACCTCTAACTCCTAGACCCACGTGGTCTCCTACCTCAGCCTCTTGAGTAGCCAGGACTATAGGCATCACCGTCACGCCTGGCAAATTTTTAAAAATTTTTTGTAGGGACAGGGTCTTGCTAAGTTGCACAGGCTGGTCTTGAACTCCTAGCTTCAAGTAATCCTCCCACCTCAGCTTCCAAAGTGCTGGGATTACAGGTGTGTGCCTCTGCATCCACCCAGTTGTATTCTTTTTAACCTAGCTTCTTTCATTCTCCCTAATTGTTTTGAGATTAATTCATGCTGTTGCATGCATTATTAGTTTATTTCTTTTTATTGCTAAATAGCATTCTGTCGTATGGGTGTACTTTAATTTATTTATTCACTACTTCTTAACAAATATTTCAGATTTTTCCCCCAATTTTTGCCTATTACAAATAATGCTGATATGAACATTTGTGTTCATATCTTTTATATGGACATAGGCTTTCATTTTTGTTAGAGAATTACTTAGGAATAGAATAACTAGATCATATATGGTAAGCATTTGCCTTTTTCAAAAACAAACTGTTCTAAATTTTTCATTTCTGCTAGCAGAGATTGAGAGTTTCAGTTGCTCTACATCCTTGGTAATATGTGTTTTGATTAGACTTTTTAATTTTGAAAACTCTAAAAGTGGGAAGTGGTAGAGTTCATTGTAATCTTAATTGGCATAATGTTTCAGTATAATAATATAAGGTGAGCATTTATCCTCAAAAAATTTTTTTACCTTTTATTTAAACCTCTGAATTTGATAAGTCTGAGTTCTGTTAGCAACTTTCTTTGAAAATAAAAATATGTTTAAAGTTTATATAATTGTTTGGCATTTTAAACACAATGTACTTGTTGACATTCAAGCACAGTTTTTTGTTTTCGTTTTTGTTCTGAGTTAGAGTCTTACTCCATCACCCAGGCTGGAGTACAGTGGCACATGTACCGCCACCCCAGCATCGACTTACTGGGCGCCAGCGATCCTTCCGCCTCAGCCTTCCAACTAACCAGAACTACAGATGCGTGATACCACACCCAGCTCGTTTTTGATTTATTGTAGAGACGAGGTCTCACCATGTTGCCCAGCAGGTCCCAAACCCACGGGTTCATGCAATCCTCTCGCCTTGGCCTCCCAAAACTTTTTAATGGTAACAGTTAAAGGAATCATAAGTAGTGACAATAAAAACAGCAGCATCTCTTAAATAAATAAAATTTATGCCCTTAAAAGTATTTAGGACTTTTGGGGGGGGTTATACTTTTTTTTTGTCAGTTCTAATTGTTTAAGAAAAGACAATCTTTTTTAAAAATTTGGTTTGCAACAAAACTTTTTTAGAGAGAAACTTACTCATGATTGTGATGGACTAAAGAATTTGAACTAACATTTTCTAAGAAGTTATTTATAAAATCTTTAGCCATTAGATTATTTTTAAACAAAAATAGCTATAACCTGAGATTTGAAACTTCATTACACAAAAAGCAGGAGAAAACTGTACACCCAAGTGCTGTTCTATATCAAATAAGGATTGACAACAGTGTTTTTATGCATCTGCTCTGCCCACATAAGAAGCCAGCTTCATCATCTGAATGTGTCCTGGGGCTGAAACTTTTTATAAATATGAGAATTTTACTCTTTTTTGTAAAATGGCAAGCAGAATATGGTATCCAGCTGTGGACTTGCTTATATATTGTGTTTGCATTTTTTTTGCTAGGCTTGTTTTATACAGTATATGGCAATGTGTTGTCATACAAATTCTATGATTGATGCTTATTTATGAAATCATGTATAAATATCTTAGAACTCAGTCAAACAATGTACAAGTTAAACAGTTTTTTTTCTCTGAATATTGGAATGACATCTCCTTTGGGAATAGTAGGTTGGATATGTTCTTTATCTATTGAAAAGTCTCGTCTGTAACATTTTCCTTTTTCTATTCTGTTATATTACTCTTTTTCAATCTATTTTCCTGGGCAAGAATTTCAGTTTTTAGATTCATTTCTAGGAAACATACAGAAAATTTAGATTTAGAAATTAGTTAGAAATAAGGATGGTAGTGATTTCGTGTTTCACTAAATAATTACATTAAATAATTACAGGTTATACATTTTTCTAATTTTGATTCTGTTCTCTGGTTAAGAGGCATCTGTATGTGTTCTATTAATCATTTATTAAAATAAACCTATTGTTCGATAATAAGTTGTGTTTATATTACTATGGTTTTAAGTCACAATAATGCTGGGTAATTGTAAAATATCACAGTGTGAGTAGGAGGCAAATTTCAGATGTGAATAAATCATGATCAGTGATATATTGGTAGATTTTTGTTTCTCTGGACTAGTTAATTTTCTCATATTTAATATTCAGTGGATTGTGACTAGAAGTTAAAAGACTCCCCCCCCCCCTTTTTTATACTTAGGTTCAGCTCTTCTATGAGTTAACTGATACCATGAATAATGTCTGGAATAAGATTCAAAAGAAAGGCAGTTTCAATCCATCTTCAGCCTATCCAGAGTCTATGACAGGGCCTGTCCCTTCTTCTCCAGTTAGAAGCAGTATAGGCACAGCTCCTCCAGATACGAGCACATGCAGCCCATCTGCTGATGTTGGAACTACTACTGAGGTAAGTGTGTTTGAAATAATTCTGTTACCAAATGAAGGGTGATATATAACATAGAGTTCCGTGTCATGATTAAGAATGAAGATAACCTCCCCACTGTGGAAGCTGAAGGATTCAGAAGGCTCATGAGGAGCTATGGCAGCATTGACTATGTAGTACGTTCCTTCTAGATCCAATTATTCTTTAATCACTTTCAGTAGGTTATGATGTAGTCAGGACAGTGCAGGCTCTGTGAAATGGTAAAACACTTGGGAGTAGATCTATTTAATCCTGTGTATAAGCAATTTTTATATCCTTCTCACTCCAAATCTTAAGAAACACAGTAGCCTAAGTAATAAGATTAATCTTTCTTCTTTTTTTTCCTAAATGAGGAAGAAGTAGTAAGTCTTGAAATGAGCCTGTGTGAATGTATGAAGTTAATGGGGCATATTTCTTCTAGAGTAAAGCAATGAGTTCTTTCTTAGAGATTCCCAATATCATTAGCATACAAAATCTTTTAGAATTTTTGCAGTAAAGTAGCTATTTATTTAATACAGCAGTTTCCAAACTTATTTAACCGAAGACCCATTTTTCAGTCTACCTATTAACACTGTACAAACTGTACTTTGTAAAATACTTAAGTATACTTGAGTAATCAAAGCTTGAAGTATCAACCTCCCATATGACCCTGTAATCCCCCTATTGGGAATATACCCTGAAGAACTCAAATCACTCTATGAAAAAGATACCTGCACACGTATGTTTATCTCAGCATTGTTCACAATCGCAAGAACCTGGAAGCAACCATGCTGTCCATCAAAAGAGGACTGGATTTAAAAAATGTACATATATACGATGGAATACTATGCAGCCATGAAAAAGAACAAAATCATGAATTTCGCAGCAACCTGGAAGGAACTAGAGTCTATAATACTGAGTGACCTCTCACAGAAAGTATCACATGTGACCTTTCTGAGTATCACATGTTTTCACTCATATAGTGGACCTTGATCATCCAACGTATTACCATAAGAAAATGACTGACAGTGGTGGGAAACTATGCGAGGGGGAAGGAAATGGGATTAATGGTAGAAAATATCTGTCTGGGGATGGGGAGACACCTCTTAACAACAAGAGTGCCTGAACGAAGCATATTTGTATACCTAACCCTTAACTGTGCCCCACAATATCATAATAAAAAATATTGATTATTTAAAAAAATGTCTAAACAAGGATAGTACAAGTGAAACAGATAAATACAGTTAAATCTTAGAGACATGTTACTTGGCAATAAGATGTCTTGTGGAATGTTTTTCTTCAACGATGGAAAAAAAGACAGTGTTGCGTTAGACAATTGTTTGCTAAATACTGTATTCACAGGGATGTCAAGAGAATAATGACATCCTATTTAGGAAGTGTTCTTTTGGAAAGAGACATTTAATAAAACATTTCAAATCTAGGATAGACAGGGCTCACATAAAGTGATCACAGCTATTGGTCATACACATCTACTATTCATATAATGTACAATGTGAATGGTGCAATCCAGGATTATACAGTGTACACAAAAGGACATAGTGGCTCGAATGTAATAGAAATAAACATACCCTTCATCTATAGAGAAAGGTTTTAGAAATTCATTCTAATATCTGTAGATGTTTTGTGGCGAAAATAACATTTGAGATGGATCTTAAAAAAAAATAAGATATACAACAATTTTGTTTTAGTATATGTATAATATATGTGTTAGACCAGATAGAAAATTGTCTTCATTAGCCAAAGTAAGGAAGTTAAGAAAGGGAAAGATTAAGGAAGAAATTTTGCTCAATTGCTTAAATACAAATCTGATTTTAATAAGTTCTTATGTGACTGTAGTTCATTTCAAATTAGAAAGTTGAGAATTTGTCTTCTGATTCGGTTATCAAGATAAATAATGAAAATGTTCACAGTGGATTTGTTTGTTTTACTCTAGCTATGGGTTTTATCAGATTTGTATGACAAAAATCAGAAAATGAAAGAATCTTAATGCAGAGATTAACAAATTAATATTCAGCCGGGCTCGGTGGCTCAGCCTGTCATTCCGTGCCTTTGGAAGGCTGAGGTGAGTGGATTGCCTGAGCCCGCGGGTTCGAGACCCGCCTGGGCAGCGAGACTTCATCTCTACAATAAATCAAAAAAGAATCAGCCGGGTGTGGTAGCACGCGCCTGTAGTTCCGGCTACTCGGAAGGCTGAGGCGGAAGGATCGCCGGAGCCCAGCAGGTGGAGGCTGCGGTGGCTGGGAGCGGCCACTGCACTCCAGTCTGGGTGACAGAGTGAGACTCCAACTCAAAAAAAAACAAAAAAAACAAATTAATATTCCAGAAAGACCAAGTAAAATAGCTCCCAGAAGATAATACAGAATTATGGGTGATGGTGGATGCAGAAGTTCAAAATGTACTCTTTTTTTAATGTAATGTGGCCAAGAAAAAAGATGGGTGATTTCTACTAGTCCAATATGGATTTTAAAACCACAGTCACTTGAGAAGTATTCTCTGAGAAACATCTTAAGATAATTTAGATGACTTGTTTTCCATAAAGAGCAGGAAGGTTTTTATAAAGATAGTTATGACATGCTGACCAATGGTAAATTTTTGGATGAATTTTACCTTAGAATATTCATCTGTTGAATAATTTATGTTTAATTCCTATTCTTGCCATCAAGAAAACATATATGTAAATCAAGATTAACTGCATGAACATGAGTTTAAATTTACTTTTCAGAATTAGTCATCAAATGATGACATCAGAAAAACAGTCATTGTTCCCTCCATTGTGTATGGATACTTCATCTGTGACTCAGCCTGTGGTTGTTTAATTCATCTAGAATTCAAAATGTGTGCACAAGCTTTCATTTTTCATTTCTCTTATTTTAGTGCTGCTAGAACTGTGTTTAATGACCTTTTTTGTTCTTTTTATTTGAGGCTCTAACATAGTAGGTTAGATTATTGGGATCCTTTGAATTCCCATGGGGGAAAAATGTTTTTGAAATTTTGATGAACTTGCCTATATATTTAAATGTGTTACTTGCTGAATGGAAATGAAACCTTGGTCTCTCACTGGAGAGGCTAATGAATGAATGAGACTATAGAGGAAAGTATGCAAAGGGGAAAGTATATAAATATATTTTGTTTTAATCTGTTCAAAAGCTTTTATGCTTTTTTGGGGCATGGCATTTCTAGAAAGTTCTAGCAGGTCTTTGCTTTTCTTGGTAATTATTGTGCTAATTATCTTTTGATTATAAGAAAACTTTCTGTTAGCAACACTATCATGTCAACAACAGAATTGCCTGAATGCAGATTTAATTATACAGTTTATATGTTGTGGTTAGTTATAGCAGTAGTACTTCCCAACCTTTTTTATATAATTTTATATATAGAAAATTATACTAATATATGTGGTAAGCAGAAAAGGCTCCAAGACACTGAAAGCTCCATCCACTTCAGCCCCATGCAAAGACTGTAAAGGTCAGAGGAGTCCATGTCTCAGCATGCTAGTTAGTAATCTCTGAGTTGTAGTTCCTTTTCTCTTTGATAAATATGGTTCTTAATATTTTCAAGTTATAACTAAGTAATATTGTAACAAATAACAGCATAGGACACCATTTGATTAGTGTGGCAGAGTCTTCCTCTTATACCCAGGGAAAAGAAGAAAATTAAAAGTTAAATTGAAAAGACAAAATTATTTAACCCTAATACGTTTTTTGAAAATCTATTAACAAATTAAATGGGGCATATCACTGTCTGCTCTGTTCTGAGTAAACCCTAGTATTGTTCCTGTCTTTAAAAAGAGTTAGACTCTTTATAGTAAAGTTTGAAGTCTGGTAATGTGATACCACCTGCTTTTTTTTTTTTTTTTTTGCTGAGGATTGTTCTGGCTATTCTTGGTTGTTTGTGTTTCCATTTGAATTCCTGTGTTGTTTTTTCTAGGTCTGAGAAGAATGTTGCTGGTAATTTGATAGGTATTTCATTGAATCTGTAGATTGCCTTAAGTAAGATGGACATCTTCACAATGTTGATTCTTCCAGTCCACTAGCATGGGATATTTTTCCGCTTGTTTGTGTCATCTTTGATTTCTTTGAGTAGAGTTCTGTAGTTTTCATTGTAAAGGTCTTTCACGTCTCTGATTAGGAAGATGCCAAGGTATTTCATTTTTTTTGTGGCTATTGTGAGTGGAATTGTGCTTTTTATTTGTGTTTCCGTTTGTTTATTATTGGTGTAAAGAAATACGATTATCTTTTGCACATTTATTTTATATCCTGAGACTTTGCCGAAGGCCTTTATCAGTGTAAGGAGGTTTTTGACAGATTCTCTTGGGTTTTCTAGGTACACAATCATGTCATCTGCAAAGAGAGATAATTTGACTTCCTCTTTTCCTGTTTGGATACCCCTGATTGCCTTCTCTTCTCTGATTGCTCTAGCCAGGAATTCCTAGCTACAATCATCAAAATAGCTTGGTATTGGTACAGGAACAGGCATATAGATCAATGGAATAGAATTGAGATTCCAGAAGCAAAACCTCAATTTCTCAACCAACTCATCTTCGACAAAGCCTCCACCACCCACCACCGGGGAGAGGAGAACCTATTCAGTAAATGATGCTGGGAAAACTGGCTGACCACATGCAGAAGATTGAAACAGGACCCCTATCTATCCCCATACAAAAAAACTAACTACAAATAGATCAGAGACCTAAATGTAAAACCTCAAACCATAAGAACCTTAGAAAGTGAAGGAAAAGCCCTCATGAAAATCGGAACTGGCATCCAATTCCTGAACAAAACCCAAAACCCACAGCTCATAAGAGAGAAAATAGATAAATGGGACCTTATTAAACTGACAAGCTTCTGCAAAACCAAAGAAACCATCAAGAGAGCAGGGAGACAGCCTACAGACTGGGAAAAAGTATTTGCCAACTCCAGGTCCGACAAAGGCTTAACATCCTGGATCTACAAGGAACTCAAACGTGCTGAAAAGAAAAAAACAAA